GGAACCCGCACCTGGTAAAGCACGTTAGGAAATTAGAGAAAGTACAAAGCTTTGCAACAAGGTTTAGTTCCGGAAACTCAGGGGAATGTCCCTAAAAAGAAAGGTTGAGGGAAATCGGACTGACGACACGGGAGGACAGGAGGGTTAGGGGAAAGATATGATAACAACATACAAAATGCTGCGTGGAATAGACAAGGTGGACAGAGGCAGGATGTTTCAGAGAGGGGACACAGAAACAAGGGGTTACAATTAGAAGCTGAAGGCTCAGACGAGTCACAGGGATGTTAGGAAGTACTTCTTCAGTGACAGAGCCGTCAGGAAGTGGAATAGCCTAGCAAGTGATGTAATGGAAGCAGGAGCCATACATAGCTTTAAGACGAGGTATGACAAAGCTCAAGAAGCAGAGAGAGAGAGGACCTAGTAGCGATCAGTGAATAGGCAGGGCCAGGAGCTGAGACTCGACCCCTCAATCAACAATTAGGTGAGTACATGGACACATATGTAAAGGCATATGCCAACATACAGACAAAAGTACATCCGTACATAAATACACATTATGCAAAAATCACGAACAAGCTATACCAGATGTAAAACAACCAGGGGGAGTTGAACGATAGCTCTAGGCCTTTCGTGTTGTCATCACCACATCATCAGGAACTTGCAATGTTGCAGAAAGGAGGAGATCCAAGCAAACACTGTCAGTGATTGTGACAGTGACTGGTGCTTCATACAGATGTATGTCTGTGATAGTGACTGGTGCTTCACACAGGTGTATGTCTGTGATAGTGACTGGTGCTTCACACAGGTGTATGTCTGTGATAGTGACTGGTGCTTCACACAGGTGTATGTCTGTGATAGTTTAAATGGTGCTTTACAAAAGGTGTATGTCTGTGATAGTGACTGGTGCTTCACAAGGTGTAAAGTCTGTGATAGTGACTGGTTTCTTCACACAGGGGTATGTCTGTGATAGTGACTGGTGCTTCACACAGGTGTATGTCTGTGATAGTGACTGGGGCTTCACACAGGTGTATGTCTGTGATAGTGACTGGGGCTTCACACAGGTGTATGTCTGTGATAGTGACTGGTGCTTCACACAGGTGTATGTCTGTGATAGTGACTGGTGCTTCACACAGGTGTATGTCTGTGATAGTGACTGGGGCTTCACACAGGTGTATGTCTGTGATAGTGACTGGGGCTTCACACAGGTGTATGTCTGTGATAGTGACTGGGGCTTCATACAGATGTATGTCTGTGATAGTGACTGGGGCTTCACACAGGTGTATGTCTGTGATAGTGACTGGGGCTTCACACAGGTGTAAAGTCTGTGATAGTGACAGGGCTTCACACAGGTGTATGTCTGTGATAGTGACTGGGCTTCACACAGGTGTATGTCTGTGATAGTGACTGGGGCTTCACACGGGGTATGTCTTGATAGTGATGGGGCTTCACACAGGTGTATGTCTGTGATAGTGACTGGGCTTCACACAGTGTATGTCTTTTGATAGTGACTGGTGCTTCATACAGAGTATGTCTGTGATAGTGAAATGGTGCTTCACACAGGTGTATGTCTGTGATAGTGACTGGGGCTTCACACAGGTGTATGTCTGTGATATGACTGGGGCTTCACACAGGGGATGTTCTGTGATAGTGACTGGGGCTTCATACAGATGTATGTCTGTGATAGTGACTGCTCTTCACACAGGTGTAATTTTGTGATAGTGACTGGGGCTTCACACAGGTTTTATGTCTTTTGATAGTGACTGGTGCTTCACACAGGTGTATGTCGTGATAGTGACTGGTGCTTCACACAGGTGTATGTCCCGTGATAGTGACTGGGGCTTCACACAGGTGTATGTCTGTGATAGTGCTGGGCTTCACACAGGTGTATGTCGTGACAGTGACTGGGGCTTCACACAGGTGTATGTTTTGTGATAGTGACTGGGCTTCACCAGGTGTATGTCTGTGATAGTGACTGGGCTTCACCACAGGTGTATGTCTGTGATATTTACTGGGGCTTCACCCCAGGTGTATGTCTGTGATAGTGACTGGTGCTTCACACAGGTGTATGTCTGTGATAGTGACTGGTGCTTCACACAGGTGTATGTCTGTGATAGTGACTGGGGCTTCACACAGGTGTATGTCTGTGATAGTGAATGGTGCTCACACAGTGTATGTCTGTGTAGTGACTGGTGCTCACACAGGGGTATGTCTGTGATAGTTGACTGGGGCTTCACACAGGTGTATGTCTGTGATAGTGACTGGTGCTTTACACAGGTGTATGTCCCGTGATTTGTGACTGCTGCTTCACACAGGTGTATGTCTGTGATAGTGACTGGGGCTTCACACAGGTGTATGTCTGTGACAGTGACTGGGGCTTCACACAGGTGTATGTCTGTGATAGTGACTGGGGCTTCACACAGGTGTATGTCTGTGATAGTGACTGGTGCTTCACACAGGTGTATGTCTGTGATAGTGACTGGGCTTCACACAGTGTATGTCTGTGATAGTGACTGGGCTTCACACAGTGTAATGTCTGTGATAGTGACTGGTGCTTCACACAGGTGTATTCTGTGATAGTGACTGCTGCTTCACACAGGTTTTATGTCTTGATAGTGACTGGGCTTCACACAGGTATGTCTGTGATAGTGACTGGGGCTTCACACAGGGGTATGTCTGTGTATAGTGGGCTGGGCTTCACACAGGTGTATTCTGTGATAGTGACTGGTGCTTCACACAGGTGTATGTCTGTGATATCACACAGGTGTATGTCTGTGATAGTGACTGGTGCTTCACACAGGTGTATGTCTGTGATAGTGACTGGGCTTCACACAGGTGTAGTCTGTGATAGTGACCGGGGCTTTACACAGGTGTTGTCTGTGACAGTGACTGGGCTTCACACAAGTGTAAATTTTGTGATAGTGACTGGTGCTTCACACAGGGGTATGTCTGTGGGTAGTGACTGGGGCTTCACACAAGTGTATGTCTGTGATAGTGACTGGGGCTTCACACAGGTGTAAAGTCTGTGATAGTGACTGGGGGTTCACACAGGTGTTGTCTGTGATAGTGACTGGGCTTCACACAGGTGTATGTCTGTGATAGTGACTGGGGCTTCACACAGGGTATGCCCGTGATAGTGACTGGTGCTTCACACAGGTGTATGTCTGTGATATGAAATGGTGCTTCACACAGGTGTATGTCTGTGATAGTGACTGGGGCTTCACACAGGTGTATGTCTGTGATAGTGACTGGGGCTTCACACAGGTGTATGTCTGTGATAGTGACTGGGGCTTCTACAGATGTATGTCTGTGATAGTGACTGGGCTTCACACAGGTGTATGTCTGTGATAGTGACTGGGCTTCACACAGGTGTATGTCTGTGATAGTGACTGGTGCTTCACACAGGTGTAAAGTCTGTGATAGTGACTGGTGCTTCAACCCCAGGTGTAAAGTCTGTGATAGTGACTGGGGCTTCACACAGGTGTATGTCTGTGATAGTGACTGGGCTTCACAAGGTGTATGTCTGTGACAGTGACTGGGGGTTCACACAGGTGTATGTCTTGATAGTGACTGGGGCTTCACACCGGTGTATGTCTGTGATAGTGACGGGGCTTCACACAGGTGAATGTCTGTGATATGACTGGGGCTTCACACAGGTGTATGTCTGGATAGTGACTGGTGCTTCACACAGGTGTGTCTGTGATAGTGACTGGTGCTTCACACAGGTGTATGTCTGTGATAGTGACTGGGGCTTCACACATGTGTATGTCTGTGATAGTGACTGGTGCTTCACACAGGTGTATGTCTGTGATAGTGACTGGGGCTTCACACAGGTGTATGTCTGTGATAGTGACTGGGGCTTCACACAGGTGTATGTCTGTGATAGTGACTGGTGCTTCACACAGGTGTATGTCTGTGATAGTGACTGGTGCTTCACACAGGTGTATGTCTGTGATAGTGACTGGGGCTTCACACAGGTGTATGTCTGTGACAGTGACTGGGGCTTCACACAGGTGTATGTCTGTGATAGTGACTGGGGCTTCACACAGGTGTATGTCTGTGATAGTGACTGGTGCTCCACACAGGTGTATGTCTGTGATAGTGACTGGTGCTTCACACAGGGTTATGTCTGTGATAGTGACTGGCTTCACACAGGTGTAGTCTGTATAGTGACTGGTGCTTCACACAGGTGTATGTCTGTGTAGTGACTGCTGCTTTACACAGGTGTATGTCTGTGATAGTGACTGGGGCTTCACACAGGTGTATGTCTGTGATAGTGACTGGGGCTTCACACAGGTGTATGTCTGTGATAGTGACTGGGGCTTCACACAGGTGTATGTCTGTGATAGTGACTGGTGCTTCACACAGGTGTATGTCTGTGATATCACACAGGTGTATGTCTGTGATAGTGACTGGTGCTTCACACAGGTGTATGTCTGTGATAGTGACTGGTGCTTCACACAGGTGTATGTCTGTGATAGTGACCGGGGCTTCACACAGGTGTATGTCTGTGACAGTGACTGGGGCTTCACACAAGTGTATGTCTGTGATAGTGACTGGTGCTTCACACAGGTGTATGTCTGTGATAGTGACTGGGGCTTCACACAGGTGTATGTCTGTGATAGTGACTGGGGCTTCACACAGGTGTATGTCTGTGGATAGTGACTGGGGCTTCCCCACAGGGGATGTCTGTGATAGTGACTGGGCTTCACACAGGTGTAAAGTCTGTGATAGTGACTGGGCTTCACACAGGTGTATGTCTTGATAGTGACTGGGCTTCACACAGGGGTAATGTCTGTGATAGTGACGGGCTTCACAAAAGGTGTATGTCTGTGATAGTGACTGGGGCTTCACACAGGTGTATGTCTGTGATAGTGACTGGGGCTTCACACAGGTGTATGTCTGTGATAGTGACTGGGCTTCACACAGGTGTATGTCTGTGATAGTGACTGGGGCTTCACACAGGTGTATGTCTGTAGTATGATGGCCACACCAGCACTCACCTCTCTGTGTAGCTGTCTTACTGGAGAACACTTGGGAGACGACCTGGGGGACGTCTTGGGAGAGGTCCTGGGGGAGTCCTTGGAAGGTTGGGGACGGGTCCTGGTGTGAATGCTGCTCCTGGGGTCCGGAGACCCGGGACGCCTCCTGTGGGATCCCAGGGGTGCAGGTCCTGGACCCACGGGGGAACGAACCTGTGAGGAAGAGGAAATGTTATAACTGTAATATGATGGCCAAAGTCTAAGACACACACACACACACACACACACACACACACACACACACACACACACACACACACACACACACACACACACACACAACCCCACGCACACACACACACACACCTAGCCACACACACACCCAGCCACACAGCCACACACAGACACACAGACACACACACACACACACACACACACACACACACTCACACACACCCCACACCCGCACACACACACACCTAGCCACACCACACAACCCGCCACACAGCCACACACAGACACACACACACACACACACACACACACACACACAGCCACACACACCACACACCCCACACACACAACACACACCCCACACACACACACACAAAACACACACACACCCCCCACACACACACACGAGGCCCCAGCATGGACCGACACCTGGTCAAGAAGGGGAAGAAGATGAAAATGTACAAATACTTAGAAGCAGGGTTTGTCCCACAACTGAGAGACAAGCACTCTGAGGAGGTTTATGCAACTGAAAACTGACGAGACAGCGGGGAGTACGACAAGGGAGACGTGATTGTTATATACAAAATCCACAAATGAATTGATGGAGCTGATAAGAACAGACTTTTCTTGGTGGTGTGAGTACCAATTTAAAAATACTTGATGAAAAAGAAGAACAGATAAATCATAGTGAAGGTAGGCGGTACATTTCCAGTCTTCGAGTAGAAGGGAAGTGGCTACAAAGCTCTCGCTTCACACACGGAGGCCCGGGTTCGATTCTCGGGGAGGTGGAAACAATTCGACGGTTTCCTTACACTTTTTTGTCCTGATCACCTAGCAGCAAGTACGTATCTGGGTGTTAGTCGACTGGTGTGGGTCGCATCCTGGAGGACAAGATTAAGGACCACAATGGAAATAAGTTAGACAGTCCCTCGATACCACTGACTTTCTTGTGTTATCCTGGGGGGCTAACCCTCAGGGGGTAAAAATCCGAACGAAAAACTTATCTTAACAAGCAAAGTTTCCAAAAGATCAACGGGGGGATTCGTGCTCCCGCTAATTTAAAATTTTAAAAACT